TGCCATATCATATTCTTTGATGGAAACGTCAGCTCAATTCATATCATTGTGGGAAAATTCTTCTTCTATCAGTCCTTTATCACTTTAAACGAAATTGGGTGAATACATTTCACACTACTGAATTACCGGTAGTCTCGAAACAACACTAAAATGTGAAAAGTATACTAAGATTACCCTGACAACTAACTATCAAAATTATCCTATAGCTAGCTGCCTTTATAAGAATTTATTTTTGTTTTATTCGCATTTAAGTATTGTGTCGAGACTAACAGTAAATCAGTAGTATGAGATGTATTCACCCAATTTCGTTTAAGGCGATGAAGGACTGGTAGAAGTAGAATTTTCCGTCAATTATATGATTTTGAGCTGACTTTTTTATTGCATTTCACATAGCCTTGCTTTCCCAACAGTTGTTCTCATCGAGGCATCAGTGGACTGCAGTTTCTACATCTCATACTACTGATTTACTGGTAGTCTCGAATCAAGACTTAAAGGCGAAAAATATACGAAGATTACCCTGAGAAATAACTATCAAAATCATCCTATATCTAGCTACCTTTATAAGAATTTATTTTTGTTTTATTCGCATTTAAGTATTGTGTCGAGACTAACAGTAAATCAGTAGTATGAGATGTATTCACCCAATTTCATTTAAGTTGATGAAGGACTGATAGAAGAAGAATTTTCTCACAATGTTATGAGTTGTGCCATATTATATTCTTTGATGGAAACGTCAGCTCAATTCATATCATTGTGGGAAAATTCTTCTTCTATCAGTCCTTCATCACTTTAAACGAAATAGGGTGAATACATCTCATATTTATTTCCTTATTTAAATAATATTATACAATACATATGCATGTTTATAATTTTTGATTTTTTTGAGTTTTTATCTTGTTCATCTTTTTCAGGACAGATTCATCGTCTCTCGCTGTTACCGTCTCCGAGCCCTCCCGGGCTGCCGCAAGCAGACTCGGGCCTACAGGGTCTCCCACCTGGCCTCGGTCTGCGCCAGGATTTGGCGATTGTGTATCTGGGCAATCAGCGCTGGCAACTGGTGGTGATGCCACGCGATCTGGAGCCGCCGCCGTTGCCGGCCGGCCATGCCGTCACGTCTTCCGCTGTCGGCTTGGGCTTGACGAGCCAAACGGCCGACGTCTCGGCGCCTCCGGTACCACCGGCGGCGTCGGTGGGCGCCGGCGGACAACCGCTGGTTGCCGACGCCTGGTACAGTCAACTGAGGCACATTTGCGACGGGTTGGCGCAACATTTGGCGGCTGCAATCGGTCTGCCGAGCGTCGGTCAGGCGTCTGGCGATGCCGGCGCCGTCGCGGCGGCTAGCCCCAGCACTTGTGTCCCGCCCGGGTTGCAGAACTCGGCTTGCTCAGCCTCCTCTCTGGTCTCCGGCCTGTGTGGTACCGTCTGGCGACCGCTGACGCTCCCGGAGCCGGCCACTGGCGCCAGGCAGGAGGCAAACTGCATCTCGTCGCCGGGCCAACATGTCGCCGCGTCAGCTCTGACCTCGACTGGTCTGCAGATTGCACAAAGTCGTCTTTGTACCAACGCCTCGTTCGCCTGCACTCCTCTCCTTCCCACCGACGTGTTCGGCAGTCGCAATCAGCCGGGTTAGACGG